AGGAATAACATTCTCACACGTCTTTTCCTTTCTCAACAAGGAGTATTTTTGTCTTCTGTTCTTCGAAGTTGATCTTTTTGGAATCCATTAAATTATAGATTGCCTAACACAGGTGGGTCTGACACCCTCTGATAGACTGTCAACTATCATTAGCTCAGGAGAGAGCTGCTTCTGGCAGCCTGCTCTGACGGAGTGGGTGTTCGTGGGCCGGGAGCCGTGTGTGCTGCCCCTTAATGAGAGAGGGGACCCTTTTTTTGGTTGCTAATTTGATAAAAATCTGAAGCGAGGCTCGCGTGGGGGCAGATAAGTAGTCTTAAAGTGGTGTGAGCAGGTGCTGTTTTTAGGCATGCGTGACTTGAGTTGAGCCCCTTATACCACCACTTAGGTATAAGAGACAGATTGGTACCGTACAGCTCGGAGCCAGGGGGGGGGTGCAGTGGGCCAAGGGTGGGACTAGTAACGGAAAGGTCCGTGGTTCGAACCCACTAGGCTGCTCTGTGGGAGAAAGACGAGGCCAGCAGCTCTTGTAAAGAGCTTCATCTCCTCAGACCTTCTCTACAGGAAATTCTGCTGTGTTCTGTTGGGGTTTCTGTCGGTTAGAATTGAAGCAGCAGCAGTGGGTTTGGTTCTGGGTTTGTGTTGTACACCCAGCTATCCCCCCGTCTGTTCCTACTTTAAATGTGCTTAGCTAATACGGAAAAGCCAGTGTTCTGTGACAGCTCAGTGGCTGGGTATTTTGTTGTCAAAGTAGATCATTAATCCTTTCCTTGTGTTTCTGGATGGCTTTGAACTGCCAGTCTTTGTCAGTAGTTTAGCACTTAACCTTTTGTAGGCCAGACTCTGGCCAACTAATAAACCAAAACATACCATACCGTTTGCTGTCGAGTTGACCCAGACTCACATCGACTCTTAAGACAGAGTGGAACGGCCATTGGGTTTTCAAGGCTGTAATCTTTACAGAAGCAGGCGGCCCTTTTATCCTGTGAAGTCCTGGGTGGATTTGAACCACTGACTTATAAGTTAGCGGGCACATACTTAAAGACCAAACACCCAGGGTTCCTTGGTAACTAATTGTTGGAAGGTGCTGTCGACTCAGCTCCACTCACAGCGACTCTGTGACCCTGGCCCTGCCCTGCACCTTCTTGTGCCCTACGCCATGCCTGGGGCCGCTGCTTCACTCACGGTGTCGGTCTGTCTAATTGAGAGTCTGTCTTTGATCCGAGGATGGTCTGCTTTTGCCAGCATAGTGTGTTCTCCCCACGATCGGTGCCTCCTGACAATGTCCCCAGAGGATGTGAGAGAAAGCTTCAGCGTCCTTGCCTCTGAGGAGCACCCTGGTTGCACCTGCTCTAGGATAGAGTTGTTTGTTCTCTTGGCAGTCAGTCTGTGGGTAGTTAGTACTTTCTGCCAACACCACCAGTTCGGAGACATCAATTCCTCTTCAGTCGTCCTTGTCCAACTTGCGCAGACGCACTAAATTCTGTCCAGCTGACAAAGCAAGCTCTCTGGTGGCCAACGACTGTGACCTTAGCCTTCAGCGCCTTCATTACTTGCATGTAGATGGAGAAGGGCTGCTCATGTCTGGACTTGACAAGAAAACAGTAACTATATTGGGTGCTGTAATTGGAATCCCTCCAATGTCTTGATGGGGTCCGGGTAGTAACCTGAGATACTGCAAAACCAAAATCAAACCAGTTGCTGCTCTGTTATTTCCAACTCAGGACCCAACGTGTGTCCGAATAGAACTGTGCTCCGTCCTGTTTTCAGTGGCCGGAATTGTGGAAGTGTGTCACTAAGCCTCTCGACCATGGTTCTTCAGATGGATTTGAACCAACCTTGTATTTCACGATCCTGTGACACACAGGGACTGTGAGATCTTGTATGATGTTGTTGAAGCTGATGGGGTGTTGAAGGAGACCTCCCAGGCCTTGTGCGATGGTGACCACCTGGGGTTATCAGGATGGTGACTGTCTTGTGCATTGGTCGTGTTGACAGTAGCTCAGGTATACCTGCTGGGGAACAGTCAACCAGACAGGATCCATGCCCTGGTGCAACCCTGGGTCCTCTGGGAACAAATTGCCACTTACAGGAGTAAATCTGGAGACCTGTGCTTGGGCCAGGGGGTCCTCAACCAGGTGAGCACAGGACTGGTGGATGTGAAACAGATGGCAGAAACGTGGGTCGATTCTAAATTCATGGTGCCGTTGTTACCAGAATCTCTAATTTTATCTTAATTTTTTCTAATATAATGACTATTGTTTGCATAAAAATGATACATGAGCCTTATTTTAAAAAAACAAAACAAGACAAAAAGAGGATGAGAGACACCCAAGTGTTGAGGACTCTCCTTCATAGGGTCGCTATGAGTTGCCTGTGCCTCGATGGCACTTAACAACCACCACCATCAATAGGCAATTTTATAGCAGTATTTTCCTCCCATCTGTGTTATTTTCAAAATTTAAAAAAATGGAATTTATTTTAGGAGAATAAAAGGAAACAGAAGTCATAATGAGCTTCAGTTAACTATTTCTTCACCAAAAGAAAACATTTTCTCAGTCATTACACTTAGGCCAAGACTCTTTATCCAGGGCCTGCTAGCCCTCGTTATTTTTATGTGCCATTGAGTCGGGACTGACCCATAGCTGACCCTCCAGTGGGTTTTCAGAGGCAGTTAATTGCACGGGAGGAGATTGTCCATCCTTCTCCCACAGAGCAGCTGGTGGATTCAAACTCTGTGCCTTCAGGATTGCAGTGCAGCTTCTTACCACTAAGCCACCAGAACTCCCTGGCCCTCAGGATACAATAATTAAGCTTTCGACTACAGAGAAACCCACACGCAGGTTCTGTGAGAGAAGGACCTGGTGATTTGTTCCTGTAAATATTACAACCACGAAAACCCAATGGGGCATTTCTGGTCTGTCACACGGTGTATCTCTGAGTGGACATTAACTTGACAGCAGTTAACAGCAGAGGACATTGACAGTATAGGGGGACACTTTTGGTAGTCCAGGGGGTGGGGAGACATGGTTTAGAAGCCAGGGATGCTACCAAGCAGAAGAAAATGGCCAGAAGACTCCCCTGTAACAGCGAACTATCTGGCTCCAAATGTAATTAGTGCTGAGTTCCAGAAAATGAACTGGAAGGTTTGGAAGAAAACATGATTGGAGAGAGTGAGGACGAAATCATTACATTTCGGTTCTGTTGCAGCTTTAGGTCATTTGGATTTGGCTTGTATAGTGGACGACGAGATGATTAAGCTTATCTTAATTCTCCTCTCCCTGTTTGGCAGTGGTGTCACGTGGCAGCTGGCACTGTTTTTCCTTTGTCAGGGTTTGAAATGTTTATATTCTATTTGGCAACCTCAACCCCTGACGTTTATTTACCCGTAGTTTCGTAGTTTCATCTCAGTTGTTCAATAGCCCAGTGCCTGTAGCCCGTTGCCAACGCAGTGATTGTTTTTGCCCCCTGCTGACCCCCTGTAGGACAGAGGACAGTGGCCCCAGGGGTTTCTAAGGCTCCAGTGTTCATGGGAGTGGATTGCCTCCTCTTCCTCCTACAGAGCAGCTGGTGGGCTCACACCGCTGACCTTTTGGGTGACAGGCAAGCATGTAACTATTGCCCAACACCACTTTTGAGATCATGATTTTCTCCTTCTGTCCGGGTTCATTTGAAGTCAGTTCTTGGCTAGTTGGTTACCAGATGCAGATTTAACATGAATGTGAAGGGGATGTCAGCTCCCATTCTGGTGTATTTTTCTTGGTCAGATTTGCATCTGGAGATTAGTGTCTGTGTGTGAGGGTCAGAAGAAGAGTAGCTACTCAGTAGAGAGTCTCTAGGTCTCGGTGGACCTGAAACAGTGCCTCCTGTAAAAAGAGAATTGAAAGTCAAGAGAGGGGAAACTGGCTGAATGCGTTCATTATCTTTATTATGGTTGTTGGATTAGGTACTCCTGAGTCAGCCCCACCCATGATGACCCTGTGAACAGTCAATGAAATTCACGGTTGTTAGATGCTCCTGAGTCAGCCCCAAGCCTGACGACCCCGTGAACAGTAGAATGAAATGTTCCTGGTCTAGTGCCGTCCCTTTGATCAGGTGGAGATTGATCTGCTGTGAACTCTTTTCAGGAGTAGATTGCCAGGCCTTTCTTTCCGGCCTATCTTCTGGAAGCTCAGCATCAGGCATCGTCCAGGCGTTCGGTGATGGATGGCTGCTGGCTGCCCGTGAGGGGCACTGGCTGGGAATCGGCCTCCTGTACAGATGGCAAAAATCCTCCCCCCGATCACCAATGTCCTGGTTATCCTTGGTTCTTAGAAAGGCTTCTGCATGGAAGCAGGGTTGGTTTTCTGAGGGTCGTCCGAAGGTTAGAACTGTTATCACATGGACATTAAGGACAGGGTGCCTGGTGGAGGCTGCCATGGGAGGGTGATGACCGCCTGGAAGCCAGTGAGTGGTGCAGTCCTGGACGCACCTGCTGCCGTACTGTACGTAGATGTTGACAGAGGGTGTCAGCTGAATGGCTATATTTAGATGACTTGCTGACCTTGAGATCCTGGCATTGAACTAAGGCTTCCTGATAACCACCTCTGCTGGGGAGAAACCCCACTTCCTCTGCTTCCCTCTTTCCTGCTGTTTGAGAACACGGGTGAGCAAGTAGCCAGCGTCCATGGCTGATCAGGGTAGCGTCATAAGTACTCTGTACCCTGTACACTTGGACCCTTCATCTATCGAGTGAAAAAGAATTAGAGCAATGGATTATGTGTTAGAGTCAGCTGAACTAGTTCCAGCTGGTGTCTGTAGTATTTGCAAGATGATACGATGGAGCACATTCTAAATACACTATCTGAGCCAATAAATCTATACATGATCTGGGCAGCGTATCCTAGACACTGGAAACGATAGTCACAGACTGTTCCTGGTATAACTGGAATGGGGTGTTCTATGAATGCCTTCATCAGATGGCTGTACCCGTGTGACTTACCAGTGGCTTTGTTTCATTGCAGGGGAGCTACCCGGTTTGGGAAGATTTCATAAACAAAGCAGGAAAGCTGCAGTCCCAGCTCCGGTAAGTAGAAATCTGTTACCTACAGAAAGCAATTAAAGGCATCTGAGGGTGAGGTGAGACAGACAAAGAAGCACGATTGGGTTCATTCTGTAAGTTACATACACAGGAGAAGGTGTAGCCGTCATTGTGTTGATTCTTACTCATAGGTTGGAACGGAGCTGCTCCTTACGATTTACAAAGCGAAATCTTTACAGAGCAGTCCGCCTCCCTGTCCTCCAGAGTCACTGGTAGACCCAAGCCATCAGCTTTTCACTTAGAAGCCTCATGCCGTAAGGGATCCTTAGAGAAGGATGTTGTTGTTAAGTACCATTGAGTGGGAACCAACTCTTAACTGACCCTTCACTGCGTTTTTCTTAGACTGTAAATTGCTTGGATTGCCCATCTTTCGCCCATGGAGCAGCTGGTGGATACAAACTACATGCCTTTGGGTTCACAGCACAACTCCTTACACACTAGACCCCTGGGCCACACTAGAGCTCATAGAAGAATGTGTGATTATGTCATCATGTGCCATCAAGTCAGAGCTGACTCTGTAGCAGGTTTTCAAAGGCGGTAAATCTCAGAGGAGGAAAATGTTCAAGTTTCTCCCATGGAGCAGCTGGTGGATTTGAACTTCAATTCTTCGAATAGGCAGCACAGGTTCTCACCACTAAGCCATCTGAGCTCCCATAGAAGAATGTTGTGGTTAGGTGCCATGAAGTTGAGTCTGACTCACAGGGACCCTGTGAATCACAGTTCTGAACCCTGTACAATCCTCAGAATCTCTGACACCTGAGCCCACTGCTGCCGTGACTGTGTCAGTCCACCTGGTTGAAGCTCTTTCTTTCTCTGTCCATCCACCTTTCCAAGCATGATGTCCATCTCTAAGGACTAGCCTCTCCTAACAACATGCCCAAAGTATGTGAGGGGAAGTCTTACCGTCTTTGCCTCCATGAAGCACTCTGGCAGCATCTTATCCAAGACACATCTGTTTGTTCTTTTGGCCGTTGATAGGATATTCAGTGCTCTTCTCCAACACCGCAGCTCAAAGGCATTAACTCTTCTGTCATCCTTCTTCATTGTCTGGCTGTCTATTGCATCATAGAAAGTAACTGAAAAGACTGAATCAGGCACACCTTAGTCCTCACACTGATATCAAAGAAGAATTTAGTAGATTCTAATTTGGATGTTACTACTTATTAACTATATTCCCAGGCCCTTAGATGCCATATATAAAATTAGACTCCTTTCTGCTCTGTCTCCTTCCACAGGGATTTTGAGAGTCAACAGTGGTAATGTTGGGCAGCGTTTATATAGCACTCACTGAAGGCCAGGCAGGTCCATTTATTTAACTCTCACAGCTCCATGAGGTGAGGACCGTTAGTATTGTACTGATGAGGAAACTGGCACTCAGTTGAAGTCAATAACTCCCAAATTTCCTTGCGGGTAACTGACAGAGTAGGGATTTGAGCTTGGGTAGTCTGGCTCCAGAGTCCATATTTTTGCCCAGTCTTACTGCTACTCAGTATGTTGTTGCTATTAAGTGCCATCGAGGCACAGGCAACTCATAGCGACCCTATGAAGGAGAGTCCTCAACACTTGGGTGTCTCTCATCCTCTCTCCAGGTTCCTAGGGTTTTCTGAGGCAAGCTATTACGGAAGTGGATGCCACTCCTCCTTCCAAGCTTGTTTTAATCGGGGAGCTCCACCCCACTCTCTGTCAGCATTGGGTAACAAGCCATTAATGCATTTGACACATCATTGTCACAGTGTTCAGCCTCACAGCAACCACAAGTTACTGCTGTACGGCAAGTGGACACACCAGGGCTATACGACCTAGAGGAATGTCTCAGTATAAGGAGTTTAAAACCTAGTGCTGAGTATTTACCATTTCGCTGTTATGAAATATGTAGAAAAGAGAGATCTATGCAGGTAGCTGTAGATGAAGGCTGGGAATAGAAAGGGGGGTAAACCACAAGTGGACACAAGGACTGTCTTAGGGGGTGATAGAGATTGTGGTCTTGATTATACAGCCTTGTAACTTTACTGGAAATCATTGACTTGTACCTTTAAAATGAATTGTTGTTGTTGTTGTGTACCGTAGAGCCAGAGTTGACCCTCCAGCGGGTTTTCAGAGGCAGTTAATCGCATGGGAGGAGATTGCCCGTCCTTCTCCCATGGAGCAGCTGGTGGCCTCGAACTGTGTTCCTTTGGGATTGCAGTGCAGCTTCTTGCTAGTAGGCCACCAGAGCTCCTTTTTAAAATGAGTACATTTTATAATATGGAAATTAAACCTCCTTTAAAGAGCTGTTAACAGAAAAAGAAAACCAAACCCTAGTGCTAAGTTACTCTGTGCTGCTGTTGTTAGGTGCTGTTGACCCATCAGCCACAGATCTGAGCCTTGTCCTATCCTGTGCCATCGTCATCATCTCTGAGCTATTTGGGACCGTTTCTGCACTCACTGTATCAGCCAAGGCATAGCCTTTCCTAGCAGCATGCCTGAAGTATGTGAGACTAAGTTGTGTCATCTTTGCCTCCAAGGGGCATTCTGGTTGTACTTTCTCTAAGATACATCTGTTTGTTCTTTTGGCAGGCCATGAATCATTCGGTACTCTTCTCTGACACTTCAGACTTTTCAATTCTTCTGTCATCCTTCTTCATTTGTCCAGCTCTCAGGTTCATAGCTAGTGATTGAAAAGACCATAGTCTGAATCAGCCACACTTTCATCTTCTAACTGATGTCATTGCTCCTCAGGACTTGAAACACACAGCTGACTATCCCAGTGCAATACATCTGTTGATCTCTTGGTTGCTGGTGCCAAAGGTGTTGATTGTGGAGCCAAGCAAGATGAAGTCAGTTTCAATCTTTTCTCTATCATGATGTTGCTTTTGAGGAGTTTTGATTTCTTGATGTTGAGATGTAATCCATATTGAGAGCCGTAGTCCTTTATCTTCTGCATCAAGTGTTTCAACTCCTCTTTACTTTCCTTTTTCTTTTTAATTAAATTGTATTTTAATTATAATTGTCATGAAAGTCTACAGAGAAGTTCGTGTTTCGTCCATTCATTGTTGCACGGTCAGTCCTCCGGACCTTCAGCAAACAAGGTTGTGTCATCTGCATGACTCAGATAGTTGACGAGTCTTCCCTCTCTCCTGTTGCCGTGTTATACTTCATCCAGCTTCTCAGATGATTTGCTCAGCGTACAGATTGAATAGGTGTGGAGAAAGGATGCAGCCCAGGACTGTTTCTGCTGCTGAGTCATGCCCATGTTTGTGTGTCATTAGATACGAATGAGGACAGGCCTCACATCTTTTGATAGTGAATACCTTTAAGTCATTGGGGAGAAAAAGCATCCTCATATGTGGTAGGTGCTTCATGAAGACTGCACCCTTTAAAAAATGCTTCTTTCCATGAGCTCAGTTGATGGCACTTGGGAGATGACATTGTTTAGTTTGGATGGATGGAGGATAGTTGTCCAAAGAGCGGAGCTAGCAGGTGTTTCCTAGGATAAAAGGTCACTCATTCCACGATGGCGGAGTGAGATGAGGAGTGAGGACCTGGCCTTCCTGGCCTTCACCCAGGCACATCCGAAGTATTGTAGCCATAAGGCTGAAGGTTCATTCTTCTTTTACAGATAAGGACAGAATAACTTGGGAGAGCTCATCTAACTCCTTCCACTTCTCTAGCTTCAAGTAATCTGTTTGGAATTGAATCATGTCTCCCCAACAGATATGTTAAAGTCCTAATCCCTGTTCTGTGACCAGGTCTTTGGATGTAATCTGGTTAGGAGAACCTGATTATGGTGGGCTCATCTGATACAAGTAGTGTCTTTATAGGAAGAACAGAGACTCTGAGGCTCGCAGGGAGAATGCTGTGGGATGATGGAGGCAGAGATTGGAGTGGTGCATCTGCAAGCTGAGGGTTGTGGGCTGTACCAAGAACATAGAGGAGGGCGTGGGACAGATTCACCTTTACAGCCTTCAGAGGAAGACAGCCATGCTGGCCTCTTGACTTCAGGCATTTGCCCCACAAAAATGTGTGTGTGTGTGGGAAAATTTCTGTTTAAAAGCACTCAGGATGTGTTGAGTTATTTGGGCAGTTCTAGAAGACTGATGCTCTTAGCAGTGAGGGTGGGGAGACTTCATCTCACATGCTTTGGGTGTACCACCAAGACAGACCAGTCCTGGAGAAGGATGTCATGCTTGGGACAGTAGAGTCAGTGAAATAGAGGAGAGGAGGGCTGGGTGCAGTGGCAGCGGTGATGGACCCAGATACAGCAGTGATGGAGAGCATGGTGCAGGGCTGAGCAGGCTTCCCTCTGCTGGATGTGGGTCACTGGCCATGACTTGATGGCACCTCGCAACAGCAACAGGAGACTAGAACAACTCCTGGAGCAGCTCGTGAACTTGGACTTGCCCTGGGCCTTCTGAAGCACCGAGCTCATGAACGTGAACATGTCCTGGGCCTTCTAGAGCAGTGAGTAGAACAGTGGTTTCTAGAATATGGTAGCCTTTTCCACTTGTCAAGACCTTTCCCATTTCCATGCTTAAGGACTTGCGGTTGCCCTATGCTGGGATCTGATCCAAGCTCTTCTGCTAAGAATTCAAGACGTTTTCTTTCAAGCCTTCACCAGCAACAAGAACAAAGAGTTGGCATTGAGTCCACTCCAACTCCTGACAGCCCATGTGTGTTAGAGTACAGCTGTGCATCATAGCCTTTCCATGGCTAATTTGTTGGCAATAAATTGCTAGGTGTTTCTTGGGTACTTCTGAGTGGACTTGAACCTTCACAGATCAGTGTGTCAACCAGTCAGGGTCTTTGAGACATTAAACAACCATCTCTCATCCAGCCAGATCTAAGGAGCCCAAGTGGTGCACTGGTGAAGCACTTAGCTGTTACCTAGAAGGTGGGGGATTCAGATTTACCCACTGGCTCCGCTGGAGGAGACCTGACAGTCTGTTGTGTAGTGATTACAGCCAGGAAATCCCTATAGGTGTTTGTCTTCCATCACGCGGATTCACTGTCCTCCAGTCTGTCTCGTCCACCATTCTCATTTATTCCAGATGGATCATCTCTGTACTGTAGGAGGTCTTTCGTGGGGGAAACAGTCAAACATTTAAATATGTTTCCTCTCCCTTTTACTTATTTGACCTCATTTAATTGTCACAGCAGGCCCTCAAGGCTGACTGAGAACATGACTCTTGTCTCCTTTGACAACTGATGATGCTAAAGCTGAACAAAGTTGACTGACCAGCTGTTTTCATAAACATACAAAATAAAACGTGAAGTAATTTTGATCATAGGGTCGCTATGACTCATGCTCGACACGAAGGCAATCAACAACAACAATCTTAGCTTTTACTCACTGGTATTGCAATTTGTATTTTTAATCATATTTAGGCTTCTGAGGTAGGGACTCATTTTGTTTTGGGGGTCCTCCCCCAAAATGATTTTTTCAAATGAATAGGACTTGCCTGAGCACATCGCTGGCGACTTCATGCCCATGATTTAATTTTGGTATTAGAGAATGGATAAAGATTATACTGGAGAGGAGGCAAATCCAGCTTGGAGTGTTTAAGCTGAGTTATGCCTCTCTGTTGCCGGTGGCCACTTGGTTGCTCTGTGTCTTAGAGAGAGTCAGGATATGTTAGGGTCAGACAATGAAATAGGGCTGTAATTGGAAGACACTTACAATCTCTCACCCATCTCCAATTCCCAGCCGATTCTGACTCCTGCTGCCCCATGCCACAAAGGAGAACTATTCCATAGGATTTTCCTGGCTCTGACCTTCACAGACGTATAGTCCCTGTTTCTTCCTCAATGCTGGTTGGACTTAACATCCAATCTCTTACTTTTTGGTTAATTGTTAGAAGCCATCAAGTCAACTGCAACTCAGAGCAGGGTTGTGAACAGAGGATCTGAACCTTGTTCTATTCGGTGCCATCTTCATGATCTCTGATATGCTCGAACCCCTTGTTACAGCCAAGCCCCACCCAGGGACACGGAATTCTTCACGTCCTACGCAGGTCACTTCTGTGGCCAGCTCACCTGGATGGCTGTCATTGATTCAAACAAGAGTAAATGGAACCATTTTGTCAGAAATTAATCCTGCATCATAGTGAGCTCTGCATAGATGGTTGATGAAGCTAACTTCTTACTAGTTTGTATTTGGTGTAGAAAACAATATACTTCTAAGAGTAGTTACGGACGGAACAGGTGTTTTTATTGTTTTACTTTTTACGGTTTTTGGGGTGTGTGTTTGTGTTGTTGTTTTCTGTGCACAGATGCCGTTGTTGTTTGTTGTGTACCATCAAGTTGGAATTGACCCATAGCTGACCCTCCCGTAGGTTTTTAGAGGCATTTAATCACATGGGAGGAGATTGTCCATCTTTCTCCCATGGAGCAGCTGGTAGATTCGAACTGTGTGCCTTCGGGATTGCAGCTCAGCTTCTTACCACTAGGCCACCGGAGCTTCCCTTTATATATATCATTAAAATTTTTTTGAAAATTTGAGGAGAGTGGTTTTTTATCTCTACTAGAAATTTTCAGGTCTTGTTTGAAAGTTCTCTGGGGAAGGTCTACCCAGCTCTACCCAGCCCATCTCTGGCACCTGCATCTGTATTTTTTGGTGTTTTTATTTCTCTTTTATCTCTTAGTCAGCAGTACTTATGTGTAAAGACTGATTCCTTCATTTTCCCCCATTTGAAACTCTTTCCTTAGCAGCCCTATCTTCATCTTCTTTATTTAACGACCCTGGTTCACAGGGATGCTCTGTGTAGACTGGATTCTTTAGTGACTTATTTGAGAATTCACAGAAGCTGCAAGCTGGGTTGTAAAGTCCTTACGAAATGCAAGTTGGCTTGGTGTCCACGGACCTTGCATGGGAGGCTGCTAACTCTTCACTGAATGACAGCTTGTAGCGAGACCCTGGGAACCAGTGGACAACAGAGTACCCAAAATAACTTAAACTACTTAGGAATGTTAAGAGTTCAACGTAATTTCTAAATGTAAAGCAAGTATGATAATTTCTCCCTATATTCAGCTTTTAGGAATTTAGAATATATGTTTGGAAAAAAATAGTAACTCAGATTTGATATAATTAGGATTTAGAGATAAAGTTACATCTTGTAATGGGACAAGCATGGGGCTGTGAGTCATGACCCTGGCATGGTAGTCCCAGAGCTTGGAGTCCCTGTGTTGTATAAAGGGCTAATGCACCCAGATCTTAACTGGTTGGAGGTTCATATCCACCTAGAGGCACTTGGGAAGAAAGACCAGATGATTCTTTAGAAAAACCATACATTGAAGACTATAGAGCTTCTATTTAGATATACATGATATCACCATGAATGACAAATAGTACAAGTCTCAACTTTGAATAATTGGTCTTGAAAGTCACTTTGCATTTTTTGTATTCTTAGTTATTCTCTCTCCAAAAGGAATTGTTTAGCCTCGAAGAACTCTTGCCTTTCCTGCAGTCCATGTATATAGACTGTTCTCTTGCACCAGAATGAATTTCAATAATAGAATTTTTGATGCTTTCTCTTCAGGTAACACCACCTGTCCTTTTCTCTTTTTGCACAATTTCCAAGCATTTTTTAAAAAGTCACATGAACTAGAGTTGAAAGAACTGCTAGCATTCGTTGAATGCAATAACCATTGTAGGGTGGTGGGGGTGGTGATGTGCCATTGAGCTGAGTCAACTCATAGCAGTGCTATGAACAGCAGCTCTGAAGCCTGCCCTGTTCTGAGCTAGTCTCACCATCTCTGACACATCTGCCTCCGTTACCACGGTACCTGAGTCAATCCATCTTATCCAGGGGTCTTCCTCTCCTGCACTGACCCTCCACCCTTCCAAGCATGATGTCCTTTTCCAAGCACTTCTTCCTCCTGGCAATATGCTCAGATATGTGTGATGGAGTTTCAAAATCCTTGCCTCCAAGGAAAAACCTGGTTTCACCTTCTTCAGTACAGATCTGTTTGTTTTCCTGGCGGCCCATGGTACGTTCAGTACTCTTCTCCAGCAACATAACTCAAAGGCATCGATTCTTCTTCTGTCATCCTTAGTTATTATCCAACTCTCTGATGCATAGTAAGTAAGTGTGAAGACCATGGCCTGGATCAGGCGCACCTTAGTCTCTAGACTCAGAGACTTCTTCTTGGGTAGAGCACTGAAATGAAAAAGAACAAAGCACTTTCTAAGAAAAAAAAATGGAAGCAGGAATTGAGGGGTTAAATGTTGAACTATTAACTGAAAGGTTAGCAGTTTGAACCTGCCAGCTGCCCCACAGGACAGAGATGAAGCATTTTTCGTGTATAAAGATTTACAGCCTGAGAAAACCGGACAGAGGGCCTCCCTGGGTCGGAATTGACTGGGCGGCAGCGGATTTCAGAAGCCAGTGCTGTCCTAATCCGGCTGATCTGTTCCTCCTGGAAGTTTCCGTCCTCTCCTTAGCTGAGGCTTTGGCCCTTCTCGCTGTAATGAATTTGCTAGTGTGAGACATTGCTCATGCTTTTGTCATCTGTTTGCATTTTTAGGACTACAGTAGTAGCAGCAGCTGCCTTCTTGGACGCCTTTCAGAAAGTGGCTGACATGGCTACCAATACACGTGGTAAGTGGATGGGGGAGGGCTTCCAGCTCCAGCTGAGTTCAGCGTGTGGGCTCCTAACCCCGCTGGCTTCACAAGCTTGCCACTCCCGATAGCAGCACGGCGCTCACTCATCTTTGTATTTCTCTGTGGGATTCCACGTGGGACGCGTTTTCTCTAGGTCTCCAGATGATAAAGCACCGGCAAAGAGATGAGAGACGAAGGCCCAGAGCCTTGGTTACGCCTGAGATGGCTTGCTATGTTTCTTGATCACTTGTTCCCCCGTGTCAAGTGTTTTCCTTTAATTGATAAGTTATTTTCAGGTATTTCGTTATATCTCCATATAAAATATTACAGGAATTACAGGTACATTGTTTTAGTTGCTTCTTGATGACTTACTGTGTTTTTTTAATTGTGGGTTCTGATCATTTTTAACAACAGGTTGGCTGATGGGTCCTGAGCTTTGCCCTTGTTTGGGGTATGCCTTTCTCCCGTGGATGACCCTAAGGTTTTCCTTATGAAACAGGGGGCAGTGGGTGATGATCAGACAGACCATTTTCTAGGTCCCCATGAAACAAGGACCCTTTCAGCAATTTATCCATTGTCTGTTTCATGACCTTAGTTACAATCCTTACAATGTAACAGCACTCTTCCTGCTCCCTGCCTGGGTTCCTCATGTCCATTCATCCTTCCTCCCTGCCCCTTTTCGCCTTTGTACTTTGTGTTCAGGCAAATGCTGTACTTTGGGTGTCATACAGTTGCTTTTTCCTTTAATAGGGCTACTATCTGGCCGAAAGTTGATTGATCTCTAGACATGGGTTCTGTTCCAGGATTGAAGGGTGCCTCAGAGGATTCCACCAGTCTCTGTCCCAACAGGAAACCTGGTGTTTTTTAATTAACTTTGTTCTACCCTTTTTTAAAAAAATTTTTTTTTTTAAAAAAAATCTCTCCACCCTTGATTTTAATTATAAATCTTGAACCTAATACTTAGTAGTGGTAGCCAGGTACCGCCTAGTTCTTCTGGTCTCAGGTTTTACTGTGAATATTTGTTACAGAAGCTCTATAAACAGATAAACAGGACATTGAAATGAGAGCCCACCACAGTTAATAATGTCAGATGTACTTCTTAGTATTTCTGCTTCTACATTATCCACTAGCCACACTGATGAGTTTCTCTAATAAAAACTTGTTGTTGGTGAGTTGAGTCAACTCACAATGACCTTATAGGACAGAGAATTACCCCATAGGGTTTCCAAGTCTGTAAGAGTTAGAGAAATACGCTGCCGTATCTTTTTTGTTGGAGGCACTGGTGGGTTTGAACTGCCAACTTTTCCATTGCCAACGGAACATTTAACCACTGCACCACCGGGACTCAGTTTTTGGAATTACCATCAGAATGAAAGGAAAAATTTTTTAATATTTTTTGCTTAACTTTTAAAAAAAAAATTCATTCAGATACCTGGAATTGCATTTTTTGGATTCCTAATGTGTATTCATGGTAAGGTTTTGTATGCTAGTGTTTCATTGTGGGGTGCCCTCTGAATGAGGGAAGGGCAAGGTGTCCCCGACTGCCCGTCACGCTGTGCCGTAGGATCCTGGTAACTGAGGAACCTCAGCCCCACAGCGGGTTTTGGTGGGAAGCTTGAGGACCTGGGAGTTCTCATGGATTGAAGGGAGGAAAAACAGAGCAATTACTTGTGGGAAAAGACACTGGAATTGCCCCTCTCTGGTGGCGATGGGGGAAGAGTGGGGCCTTTGAGGTGATGTGTTTGACAAAAGACAAACAGTGTTACCGTGAATAGCCACTGCCTTGCTATATTTTTAAACTGTTTATTTTCAGGTCTGTTTCAGTGGTGCTGGAACGCTCTCTGTGTGCGCTGGTGGGAAATAACGTTCTTTGAGCTGTGGGGGTGTGAGAATGCTCGTTTAAGCTAAAACATGTTCTTGGAAGAATTCAGTTTGATGCATTTTAGCTCCCTAGAAAGAAGATATGTTTGAAGAAAGTGAAAAGAAAAAGTGGAATGTACTTTTTGTGTGTGTTCAGTGTCAGAAATTATTGTTAATTTCCACTTACAAATAGAAAGATGTGGAATATGCTCCTCGTTTTTAAAACATGATGAGGAAATTATATATAAACTCTATCCCCACCCCTCCCAGCAGGCCTTCAGGGATTGAGATGCTGTTATTTATAGATTTTTTTCCTTTTTCACATACGTAGACAAAACATGTCTGAGAGGAGAAAAAGCTAGTTGCAGAGTATTATGTGAAATGTATATGGATAAAAATACACAGGTCTGATCTTTTTTGAAAGGCAGCCCTGGAGGGCCCACTGTTCTCTGGTTTTGCTCCACAGAACCTTGTGGTTGAGCTTCCATGACAGTACCTGTGGATCTGCTTCTTACTTCCAAACGGCCAAATGGAATTTCACTGTCTGGATAGAGACAACATTATCATTCTTTTGTTGATAAATATTTAGATCATTTCCATTCATTTGACGTTAAAAGCTGTGCTGCAGCCAGTGCCTGTGTATACATCCTTGTGGGGATTTACAAGTCATCTATTTGTAGTGGTTTATGAATCACCAAGGAAACAATGAATCTGGAGCAAAGCTTCAGGCTGTTTTGATCAGCAAATATTTTGGGGCTTAAGGTCATCGCAGGCTGTACTAAGACAGCTTGAAAATTGAAATCTACTCTGTACAGAAAAAAGATATCCTTTGTCCTTTGACTTGTTTTTTTGAAGAGATTTGTTTTCCAAGTCTCTTTCCCTTCCCCCACCCCCTTTTTTTTTTAAATAACAGAGGAAGTTTTAGTTATTCTTCATTGCATCTGTTTGGGGCAAATGTCCAGAATTCTCAAACTCACTGATCTCTGGCTTCCAGAATACTAACATTTCAAAATGTTTCTGGAAGGAAACAGCTCTGAAAGGTCTTTGTCCTTTTCAGTAAATTATTTTGTGCCTACTATTAGTAAAATTTAATTAGGATGGGAAAACTTTTCTAATTAGTCACTATAACAGCAAACTTAATCTAGCCATTTGCTAACTGTTGTTAAATAGAAGAGAGCTCTTATTTTGCTCATCTTAAATTGATCTTTATTGTGGTAAAAAATAATTAGCCATTTCCGTAATTTTAAGTGTGTAATTTGCTGGCATTAATTACATACACACTGTACTGTTTATTTAAACAAAAATGTATAAATGGCTATTATGTATATATTTAGGTTAATAATAAAACTATACTGGAATTTACAAGTTTATTAGCACAAAGTAGAGTTCTGTATTTGCTTGGCCTTGCACTTGGGGATGAATATAAAATTTAATATGAAAAGTGGGAGCTCTGGTGGCCTAGTGGCAAGAAGCTCCACTGCAATCCCAAAGGCACACGGTTCAAAGCCACCAGCTGCTCCACAGGAGAAGGATGGGCAGTCTCCTCCCATGTGGTGTTTAACTGCCTCTGAAAACCCGCCGGAGGGTCAACTGTGGGTTGGTTCTGACTTTACGGTACACAACACCACCACCACCACCCCTGTGAAAGTGGAAAGTGTATGTGTTGTTAGTGTGTGTATGTGTGTGTGTGTCTCATTCTTTGGTCATGAAGACCCATTCTGTAGATGTCAAATCCACGAGTTAGTGAGCTGTGAATTTCCTGTGAGTATTTTATTTGTTCTTTCCAGTTGCATTGCAGATTCCAGCTCGTGGTGACCCATTTTTGCAGAGTAGAACTGCACTTCATAGGATTTTTCAGGAGCAGATTGCCAAACCTTTCTTCTGAGCTGCCTCTGGGTGGCTTTGAACCACCAGCCTTTTGGTTGATTGGTAGTCAAGCTCTTAACCCTGAGGAATGCTTCTCAAGAGTAAGGTCTCCTTAGTGGACCAGTGTTTGGCCTGCCATCACAGTTAAGGGTTTGAAGTGACTAACCTGCAGTCGTCTGGCTTCTTAACAACCACCACCACCAAAAAAAAACAAATAGAAAAGTTAAGACACAGAACAAAGGAATTGAAAGCCCTCCTCGCCTTTATAGCAACAGCAGCAGCACTAGAACTCGCAGCGACAGCACTGAATCAGGGGTCATGTGTACACCTGGAAGGACGTGCCCTCACCCTCTGTCCACCGTCCCTGTGGACGGCAGGGGTCGTGAACTAAGGACATGCTCTCTTAGTCAGCTCTGGCTTTTCCTGGCTCTGGTCTTATTGGTCAACAAGGGCCTTTGAAGAGCGGAATGCTGTGTGACTTTCATTTCCATCTGTCTCCCGGTACCTCTCTAATTGCTTTTTATAGCTCTGCAAAACCATCTCAGGCGTGTGTAGATGTTGCTACATCAAGCACACAGTAAGGCATTTAAATGAGAAGAAATGAAATGTATCCCAGGTGGACCAGACCATCTTCAATGTCTGAAAGGCTTGAGATGTCATTTGCAAAGCTGTGCATGGGTTTAGTACTGAAGAGAATATTGCTGCTGTGTGCTGGTGGGCTGTTTTCCGGCTCACAGCGACCTGCAGGGCAGAGTGGAAATGTCCCATAGGGTTTCCTGAACTGGAAGTCCACACAGAAGATGATTGCTAAGTCCTCTGTCTTGAGGAGCTGTGGGCGACCCTAACTCATAGTGACCCCATGGGACAGAATAAAACTGCCCCGTAGGGTTTTCAGGCTGTAATCTCTACAAAAGTGGATCACCAAGTCTTTCTTCTGCAGAGTCTATGGACAGATTTGAACATCTAACCTTTCAGTGAGTATCCAAGTGCATATCCATTGTGCCACCAGAGTTCCTTGGGGAAGAGGGTTAGAAGACAAGAATGGAAACTGCAGATGGGCATTTGGCTTAGTTTGAATTGTAAAAAGAAGACTTCCCTGCTTGCCCCCCGCCCCCAGAACTGAATGGAGATGCCAAGTAGAAGTGGAAATTCTTGGGTCAGCCATGAGGACCCAGTGGGGTGCGGGGCTTTGTACTCCATCAGGTCCAAGAAAATCAATGAGACTTGCTCCAGGGAAAGCAGGCTTGGTTCTTAAAGAAGTCACCAGATTT